GAGTATTAGAGTAATGAGAAAAGTGTCAGACTATTGAGAAGCGTGTCAGAGGAACAAGAAGAGTGCAGAGGGACAGAAATATGTCAGGCGAGTCAAAGAATTTCAAGAGGGTCTGAAGAATATGAAGAGGGACAAACAAACAGGAAGACTGTCAAAGGAATGAGAAGAGTTTCAGAGCAGTGAGAAGAGTGTCAGAGGTATGAGAAGAGTAATGAGAAGAGGTATGAGGTATGTCCTGCAGCTGGGGAAGGAAGGCTTTTTTTCCCCACAGGGGCCTGCAAGTGTCCCCAGGGTTTTTTGCCTTCCTCTGCAGCAGTGAACACAGCCCCCTGACAATTCTCCTTTGGGCTATTGGGGCCCAAATGCTGGTGCTCGTGCTCCACGCAGGTGGCCTCGTGCGCCCCTCTATGGGAAGGAAGCTTTCTAGACTACCAGGGTAGCCTCTGCAGCCTCTGCTTTTCCTCTCTACCACTAAGCACAGCCCCTTGTCAGGGATCCCCTTTGGGCTTCGTTCTTGCCTGCTGCTCCCGCACCTCCAAGACACCACTCCTGCCCTGTCTCTTTCTGGCTCCATTGTCAGGAGTGTGAAGAGGAGCAGGGTGAGAAGAAAAGGGGCAGAAGAAGGAGGGCAGGGTGAAAGGAGGAGAGAAATGCAGAAAAGAGGGGCAGAAGAAGGTGACAGGTTCAGAAGTGAAAGGGCAGATGAAGGAGAAAGATAAGAAGAAGGGCAGATGAAGGAGAATAATGCAAAAGAAGGAGAAGGGAAGAAGGAGGAAATGGTCAGGAAAAGAAGAAAAGGTCAGGAGAGGACAATAAGGCAGAAGGAAAAGTACGGAAGAAGGAGGAAAACCAAAATCTCTCCATTTTCCAAGGGAAGGGAACAGTGTTTGATTTTTGCTTTGTGTTTTGGTTGGGTTTTGTTCAACAGATTTTGCTCATGTGAAAAATGTGACCCGCATTTACTATTGCAATAAATGAGAGAGACTGTGAGACAGCCTGTTGCAATGTCATCCATGATGTCTTGCAGATATTCTGCAACTCTGGAAACTTTAACTTCCATAACCTCTAAGGCAGAATTCTCTACTTCAGGTGTAGGATCACCCTGTCACCTTCCCAGGCAGTAGCATCAAATTGTGGAAAACTTTCGCCTTCACCCTTCAATCTGAGTGGGGGAGCGGCACCAACAGTTTGAGTTTAGAATTAGGAGCTGTCCCAAGAGCAGCAGCTCGGAGGCAATGCCTCTGGGGGCACCTGAAGGATGACAGAAGGTTTCCTGCACCAGAAGTACTCAGGAAATTCACTCTCTGCTTTCATATTCTTTACTATGCTGACCTCTAGGGAAACTTTCTGCAAATGCTTTGCCAGAGCATTGGTACATGGAGCTATCGTGCTGCCCTTCTGATTGTAGGGATGAGGCATCAGTTTGGTGACAAATCAAAGCAGGCCTTCACAGGAAGCTGCAAGCAGTGTGCTGCTCCCTCAGTCCATTCCAGCACACTTAGTACATGTGAGCGGGGCTTACTCAGCAAAGAGAATGCATCCTGAGTTAAGAAACGGGTTGATAGTTTTGAGAACAGCCTCCAGGCCGCTGTGGAAAGATAAGCTATTCCAAAACAGTCAGGGTGAAGTCTGGGAAGTGTGGCACTTAACACAGTGAGGAAGATAGGAGGTATGCTGCTGCTGCCGCTGACCCCTTAGCTATGCACAATTTCCATGACTAAACACAGTTTGACAAAGTAGAAATGAATCGTTGCCAAGGTCAGCGTCATCCCTCTTGGGCAGTGCCCTACTCTCCTGAAGAGGCAGGTGGGCAGCACACCAGTCTCATTCCTTCTCCATCCCACGGGACCCCGTTACAGAAGAGATGAACAAAGAGAACATGACAACGTTTGCGAGAAATGCAAGGTGGGGCAGAGAGATGAAGGGTGAAGTAAAGTAACACATTTATAAAAGGAGGCTTGCTGGAAGTGGATGATGTAGAGGATCTGCACAGGAGGAGTACTTTTGCTTGGCATGAGAAAAAGACAGGAAACCATTGGAGGGATTCAAGGAGTTGAAATACAACAGTGGAAAAGAGATGGGGGCTTTGTTTGGTTTTAAGTCATGTTTTACATAAAAACATTACTAGCATGTATGCAAGCTAGCTAACAACAATTAGATAGCAGGTGGCGGGAGAACTATTAAATCCCTAAAGACAGACAACAAAGTCTGCTTTTAAAGCCCTTAGGATGACATTCAAGATGGTATGGCAGATATATCTAATGAAACAAAATCAGCTCCAGAAGCTGATGTGAAGTGTGGGCAGCAGAGTAGCAGCCCCACTCATGAAATTCAATAACATAATGAAAAAGGAAAAGAGAGAGAGGGCAGGAAAAGGGAAGAAAAAGATTGGCACTTCAGTAGCATCTGAAATCAGAAGTCAAGAAGTTTGGAAGGAAACCTGAACTACCCTAAATTGAAGTTAGTTTCAGGAGCGACAGTAAGAAAAACATGTCTTTTTCAGGAAGCAAGGGTATGCTTTACTGTTCAGAGTTAAGCATGTCTTGGAATAGGAGGCATTTCCTCCCAGGTTCTAGTGCAGGAAGAGTTCTTACACCCCCAAGTTAATAGGCAGAACCTACCTAAAGAAAACCAGGGAAAACCACATGGCTGCAGCCTTTTCTACGCTGCCTTCTGAACCAGCACTCTGTATGTGCCTGGACTTATAGCAGGGCTGTGTGACAGCAGCACACTACTTGCTGTGGGGAAAAGTAAGAGTGGTTTATCACATGCTTTGTCACAGTTAGCACTGGATTTAGCATTCACCCACCCTTGCTCATAACCTCATGTGGATATTTATGCAAAAGGAATTGCAGTGATATTTCCTCGACCTGCAGTCCTGTACTGGACTTAAGGCAACTTGAGCAAACTTGGTACTCCTCAAGTATCTTACAATTTCTGTTCTTACTGCTGCTCTGAATTGCAGAGAACATACTGCAACACACGCTCATTTTTGAATGTGTCTGTAGCATCGCGTCTGATCACGAACAACAGCCATGAGCAAACAGCTGGGTAGCAGGAAAGAAACTTATCTTTGCAGCTGTTTACATCTTCCTGCATGCATCACTAAACCCTGCAATTTATCCACTCCCTTCATCACACAGAAAATTGAATTTTGTCCTTCACCCATGGGTATGTGGAGTTTTTCCCTTCCCTTTCAGACTCCAGACACTTGAGGGCCCTGAAAATGAAATGTGTTAACTGTTCTCTCATCTCAATCATGCTGTAAATTCCAGTGAGCTGAGAACCTATACGTGAGTCAGCTCGAGGGAAAATTATAAATGTATTGCCGAAGTTGCCTTACTTCACCAGACTGTTGCAAATACTGTGCTTTCACTCAACTTCACTAACATGATAAATTTATAAATGACATTTTAGCGGTCCCACTCTACTTACGCAAGCCAGTAGGTGATTACTTTGGCTCTTTGTTTGAAATGTCTTCATCCACTACTTCTCATGATGATGGGCATTTCTGTTTGATGTAGTTCTGTTCCAGCCCTGGATGATTTCACCTGAGGCTCTGGAGGGATACAACATTCCTGTTATCACCATGTGCTATCATTTAAGTTTGGGGTGGCATGAGTTGGGTATTTGCTCATGTTTGTGCTTGACTAGAGGAAAATAGAGTTGCTGTCAAGTGGTATTAAAACTTGGTTATTCAATTACATGTTTCAGTTGCTAAACGGACAGGAATTTATATTGTCTAGCTGGTTAAGAGTTTAGTGCTACTTATTTAGTGTGGCGGAAGCCTTTCTACGAGTTTGAAGCTGAAATAAATCTTTCTCTTCTAATACAATTTGCTCCAAAGTTAATTTCAATAGCTTTCCTTTGCTGAATTTTGTCTTCTCAGGTGGCCTGTGCTGCACCTTTGTGTCCAAGTATAGACACAACTCCTACATACCTGATTTTGTAAATCTTTAAACCCCCAGCTCTCGTGATTCTTCATATAATGACTAAATGCCCTGCAAACTTGATATAGTGTCCACCACAGCACTTTGCTCATAGGTTTTCCACAGTGACAATTCCTGGCACTTCACAGGGTTTCAAGCTTCTAGCACTGATCTGAACCACATAAATCTCTTAGGACAGCAACACTTAAAACTGGGGGGGGAGACGGAAATCTTCAACGTGCATTCTACTGCCACTGTCTTAGTGTCTATAGGGCATTTACCTTCTGCCACGGCATTTTTAATCAAAAGTCACCGGAAATACATCAACACACCTTCCATGGTAAGGCAGAATGAATTTCCTGCTAACAGATATGATGTGTTAAGGGGCAGGCGTGGAGCTACAGCGAAATACAGTAGTTTCTGGCTTCAGGCACAGGCTGCTCAGAGCTGTGGCTGCCCCATCTCTGGCAGTGTTCAACGCCAGTCTGGGCGGGGTTTGGAGCAACCTGCTCTGGTGGAAGGTGTCCCTGCCCGTGGCAGGGGGTTGGAGCCGGAGGAGCTGTAAGGTTCCTTCCAGCCCGACCCATTCTATGAGTCTATCAAAGCGCACACCGGTTAACGGCTGCTAACTATACGGACCTCTTCCCAGGCCCTTACCAGCGGCCCAGATGCCGCGCCCGCACACACACTGGCAGCACACGCCAGCCAGCGATGCCCGCTGTGGAACGACCAGGCTTCGCTTCTCTCCTCGCTGCCGTTACCGCTCCGCTCCGCTCCCCTCAGACACGCCACGCCAACCGCCGCCGGAAACGCCGCTTTGCGCAAGCGCCGGAAACACCACCTTCCTCCACCCCGAGCGGGGCGAGCGCGGCGCGCTGTCCGCGAGAGTTGTGCTCTCGCGAGAGCCGTAAATCCCGCGAGAGCCTTCGGTGGACGGGGACGAGTAGGTGGGGGAGAGAGGGAGCGAGATCTCGCGAGAGGGTCTGGCTGCGGGCATGCGGCTGAGGGCGGCAGCGCCGCGCGCCATTGGCGGGATGTGGCCCCCCCCCGCCGCACCGCTCCGCCGCGGGCCCTGCGCATGCTCCGCGCGCCGCCGGGCCGTGTCTCCAGTGCGTGTGTATGCGTGTGTCACCCGCGCGCCAACGCTCCCGGCCCGCCGGCCACCTCGGGACCGGGCAGGTGGGACCCGCCGTGCAGGGTAAGCGGGCTCGGAGCCAGCGCAGGGCCGGGCGCCGCTACGGACAGCCCGCCCGGAGGCGGCCCGGCACGGCCTGACCCCGCCGCCCGGCCGGGGAGTGGGTGAGGGAGGAGAAGGAGGCGGAGGCGGCCGCCCGGCGTCCGGACTCCCGCGCAGCGCCGCCCGGCGCCGGACGAGGTAGCCGCGGCCCGCGATGAAGTGAGGAGGCCGCCGCCAGCAGACACTTCCGCGTTGCGGGAGGCCGCACGGGTCTAGCGGGAGGGTCCCGCCGCTCCGCAGCCGCGCCGGCCAGCGCCTGCCCCCAGCCCCGGCGGCGGCCCCGGCACAGGCCCGTGCGCGACCTGAGGGACCCTGCATGTGGTGGCGCGCCTCCATGTGAGGCGGCGCGGCGGGGCAGGCTGCGAGGCGGGCCGGGCGCCGGCGGCCGGCCGGAGAGCGAGGGAACGAGTGAGGCCCCGGTGCCGGCCGGCGGGTGTCCCCGGGTGTCTGCGCGGCGCCGGGTCTCCATGGCGCCGGCAGCGCTCTGAGGGAGGCGGCGGTGGTGGATTCCCTAGGCCGCGTCCTCGTCCTCGGCTGTGAGTGAGCTCGATGCCGAGCACCTCGGACGCGGCGGCCGGCGGGAGCGGGGGAAGCCGGGGCTGGGGGAGCGGCGGCGGCAGCAGCTCGGCAGTGGAGGCGGCAGTCGACAAGAAGCGGCTGCATCACCGGAGACGGAAGCGCTTCGTGGCCCAGCCGCAGCCTCCCCCCCCGCCGCCGGCCCCTCACCCGCTGCTTTTCCCGCTGCTACAGCCGCCCCTCCTGCAGCCCCCGCTCCTGCAGCCGCCGCTGCCGCCGCAGTCCCTGCTCTTCCTGGCGGCCACCGGCGCCTCCTCCTGCTGCGGGGACGGGGGGGAGCGGAAGCGACCGCGGGGAAAGCGGCGCTCGGGCTCCCGGCACAAGCGGCGGAGGGGCCGCGGAGGTGGTGGTGGCGGCGGCGGCGGTGGCGCCGGTACCCAGGAGGCAGACAAACGGCGCGGTAGCGGGGGGCTGAGCACGCTGGTGGAGGAGTACGACGACGTGAGCTCCCAGTCCGAAGGGCTGGTGGGTGGCGGCGCGACCGGCGGCGGCGCGGGCAGCGGCGGGGGAAGCCCGGCCTCGTCCACGGGCGGTGGCGGCGGGACTCAGCGGCAGAGGCCTGAGGCAGAGCGGAGCAGCCGGTCTCGCCGGGAGCACCGCAGCAGCAGCGGCCGCTCCAAGGAGCGGCACCGGGAGCACCGCCGGCGGGGGGAGGAGAAGGCGCAGCAGGAGGGGGCGTCGGCGGGCCGTGGGTTGACTGAGCCCTCCTCGTCCTCCTCCAAGTCCCGCAGCCGCCACAATCACACCGGGGGCCAGGACCGGGAGGGACTCAAGAGCAGTAGCGGCGGCGGCAGCGACGGCCGCAGGAAGGGCTCCCTCTCTTCGCCCGGCAGCAGCAGGAAGGAGCGAGAGAGCAAAGCGCACCGGAGCCGGACTAAAGCGGCCAAGGAGCCGCCCTCGGCTTACAAGGACCCACCGAAGGCTTACCGAGATGACAAGCCTGAGCCCAGGGCCTACCGGCGGCAGCGCTCGTCCCCCAGCCCCGGGCGGGATGACAGCCCCCCTTTGCACCGCTCCTCTCAGAGTCAGCGCAGCCGCAAGTCGCTCAGCCCGCTGGGCTGCCGCTCGCCTCTAAGCCCCTACAGCCGCCGCCGCTCCCCCAGCTACAGCCGGCACAGCTCCTACGAACGCGGTGGGGATGTGTCTCCAAGCCCCTACAGCAGTTGGCGTCGGTCGCGGAGCCCCTACAGCCCCGTTATCCGGTGAGTCCGGGCCTGGCGGTGGGGAGGGAGGGAAGGACCGGGATGGGGGTTGGTGGAGGAGGGGAGTCGTGGCTGGGGTTGGGCTGGAGGGCACGCTGGAGAGGCTTGTGTCTAGCAACAAAAGCCTTTCCTCTTGCTGCCGTGAAAGCTGGGGTGGGGGGAAGTGAGGGGAGGACATGTACAAAGATCTTCCTGTCCTGTCTCCGCAAGGAAGGGAGATGTGGGTGCCTGTAATAGTTCTACAGTTAGTTTCTCTCCGTGGGAGACCACCTAAAAGGAAAAAGGCTTTTTAAATACTGAAGAGCATGAGGGCATTTTTAGCTGAGGGTGATTGAATGAAGATGGTTCTCAGAGGTCAGGTTTCCTGAAGGACCAATTTAGATTTTAAGTCTTTGCTTACGGAGTATGGAGATTCATAGATACATTTTCATGCATCTTGCTTCCCAGTATAAAAGGAAGCATGTTAAATATATTTGTGTTTGTTTTAATTCCCACTAATCTAAAGAGCAAACAACCTGCTAGGCAATTTGCCTCACAAGTGTTTCGTGCTTTTCTTAGAGGTCTATAGGAAGAGTTGAATTTTCTGTTATGCTAGGAAAAAGAATCAGTGTCAAGTTTTGTTAAACTGCCTCCTGCACTTTACACAATCTGTGAAAACATATGTCAGCTCTTTTCCCAGTAAGGTTATGTACATGTATATACTTGAGGTGTGCTTGCAAATCGTTGTCTTACTTGTAGTGGGAACTTAAAAGTCACAGCAATGCTGACCTTTATGTCTTAAATGGAGAGGAAACAAGGGCTGTCTCTCTAGTCAGATACAAACAGTGTTGTGGAATTAAAGCTTTTCTAAACATTCAAACTTGCAGCAAAACTACTGGAAATTTAAAGCATTTGGTTAATACGTATCTATAACTGAAAATTTGTATTTCCCATGTTGGAGTCTTATTGTTGCCTCATTGTTTATTGTCTTTCTCAAATTCACATCTGGACTTCAGTTTCAAATCTGTCAAGGTGAATTGCTTGACAAGTGTGTTGTTACCCAAGGCATTACCTGGTGTGTTGTCTGAGAGCTGTTCTCTGATGTTAATAACAAGCCCTTTGCTTTGGTTACTATTTGGGGTGTCCCACAGTGTATATGGTGAGGATTCTGAAGCCGTTCTTGTGTTTCACTGGCTGTTGGTAATCTACTGTCCTGGTGTGCATTGATTGCTGTTTTAAAAGAGCAAAGTAACAAAACTGTGGCCTACTTTGTTCACAGGGATAAAACAAAGGTGCCTTTGAAAAAGTAGTGATTGTTTTAAGGTATGCCTGTATGGAATAATTTTGTAAACAATAGAGTGTTTCAAGCAGAAAACACTGTGAGTGCACTGAAAAACAGCATGTTGTCAACTGTTCAAAGTGGTTAAGGATACCCTTTAAAAATTACTTCAATAATAGAACAGTCGGACTATTATGTGCATGATATGACTTAAACGCTCCGGGAATCAGATTGTTTTTTTGTAGATAGTTATATCCTGGAATAAGAAAATTAATAATGCCAAGCAAAATTATGTAAGCTTGGTTTGCACTTACAAATAGCGGTATTGGTCAGATTGACAGTTCATTTGGATCCTTTCTTATGTGCTGCCTGATAGGGGTGTAATAGGAGGTATAGGATATGTTGCTCAGGTGACAGTTACAGAACAGAGTTTTGTAGGGGTGTTGTGTTTCTTTTTTTGTGTTGGTAGTGTGCGTGTGATTTGAAGTGTGAGAGTTTAAGTTTCCTTTCTTTGCAACATCTCTGTGCTAAGTGTGTAAATCTTCCCTGAGCTTCAGATCTGCTCCTAGGAGTTAGCTTTGTGACTTCACACCTTCCTTCCTCCCTCCAGTTAAACTGTAATTTGCATCCTGTCTTTAACTGCTTACAGATAAATTACTTTGTTAACAAATGCAGATTGTCACTGGAGAGGGATGGGAGTGAAAAAGAGAGGTTGCTATATTTAGAAAGAAAGGTTGGTCTGTCCTATTGTGGCATTCATTGTAAACACATAATTTTCACAGAAAATGAAAGAAACCAAAGGTGTGCAGATAAGCTCAGTTGTTTGCTTGGTGTGAAGAAATGCAAGCTAGTGTTTCTTTACTTCCATAAAGCTATTACGTATTATGTTTATTGTGATGGGGAAACAAAGATGGAAAGTGTTTATATGATTGTTTTAGCCATTGAAAACTGTCTTAATCCCTTTTTGTTTGCTTGACTCTCTGGTACTGTGCTCAGTATACTGAAATTCTGCTGTGCTGTTTGGATAATGGTATAGGGGCCTTAGACGTGGTAGAATATTACAGTTTCATGAAGGCATACGCTTCTTACAGCACCTGTCTTCTTCATCTCGTAGATTTAAAGGCTGAATTCTGGGCATGCATCCAGCTGTAATGCTGTCAAGACAGTAAGAACTTTGTACATGACTGAGCTTTCCAGGCTGCAGGTCTTTTTGCTCTTTTCATGCTGCATCTCATGTATGTCTTCTGTAATGTTACATGAAATATCTATGTATTTTGCGGTGTAGAAAATGAGGATGAAAGTGTTCTAGCATGCTTAGGAGGCTCATGCGTCCAGGATGCTGATTTCACCTAGGTCCCCGAGCTGCTTAGGGAGAAACTTCTAGTAAACAGTTTAAGAGAAACATGTGAAGTCAGCTTTGCTCATTTGAATCCCTGCTTTTCTCAAGCAGCAGCAACAGTGCAATTGCAGTGAGTAATTGCAGTAGTGACTGACTCTGGTCTTTCAGTGATGATTAAAGATATCAGATATGCCTTCCACACTTGGAAAATTCTCTTTGAATGGTAGACTGATTGTCTGTTCTATTATAATAGTAGTAAATGTCTGTGTTTTGGGCAAACTGATTGTTTGACCTGTTTCTATTTGTTGGATGGAAGTTCTTTACTTGCTGCTGGTGGATTTGTGTTACTGTATTTTGTAGTGGAGAGCTACACAGCTGTTCTGAAGTAGCACATGCGCTTTTGAAATGTGAATTCTCCCATAATACCAGAAGTATGACGTATTTATTTCTCTACTGATACGCTGTCTGGGTTAAAAGAATCACAAGAACTAAAAGTGTGTTGGGGGAGAAAACCCTATGGTTGACAAAATAAGGAAAGGCAGTAGGGCAATAGGAAGAGAAGAACTATTTTTCATAACTTCAGTCAGGTCATATGTTATGTGATCACACATTTAATTCAGTTAGCTCTATAGATGAGTAGTCACATTATTCCAAATTTGGATACACCTACCCATCTGCCTAGATACAAGTAAGTAGGTGGGGCACTACTACCATACTACTACTGTGTATGTGCGTGTTGTTTGTAGGAAAAATACAGAATTTCTTATTGGTACTATAGAGCCATCTCATTCTCTAGCTGTAGGTAGTCTTGTAGTAGTGAGGGTCTGCGAAAGTATGGATCGTTTATTTGCAAAACCAAAACAAACATAGGGAAAATGGTAAAATACATATTCAGGTAGTAAATGCCTACTTCGTGGAGAAGGCAGGGTTTGGTCCATTGATATAAAAATGCCTTTGAGTCCATTAATTCTGCTACTTTTGGACTTAAAAGGAGTAAGAGATCTTCAAACAGTTTTTTTTGCTGTGTTTGATGAAAATATGTAAAGCTCTCTAATCTTGTTTAGTAAAACTGTATTTTCCAGAAGTTGAAATGGGAGGCTGTAGGTTTTTACTGTTTGGAGTAACTAATTTTTCCAGTGACTGTTGAGGCTCTTGCTCTAGTGCATACTCTGAATTTATGAAGATTAGTTTTGTTACTTGACAGTGGACTTTGCCTTTTGCCCAGCCATGTTGATGTACCTTTCCTTTTCCTTGTTGCACTGCTTCTTTCCGTACTGGGGGAAGGGACTTGATGTAAAAAGCTATTATTTTTTTTAATGTGTTTAGAACACCGCATTTGAGCTGAATCTTTGCTGGCTGATTTCTTTGTAGGTCGTGTTCTCATTTTAAAATACTGAGTTGTAAAGTCGATTCAAGAACCAAATCAAATTCATGTTCAGAATTTCTCAGTATCCTATGCTGAATGTATTGGAGACTCTTAAAGATTCATGTTTTGAAGCAGTAAGGAAAGTTAATGTTGTCTTCATGCACAAAGCAGCTGAGTAGGTTGGTTGCAGAGCTGCTTAAAATATAACCTTGAACCAGGGGCTGGAGAAAATAATGAAATTAAGTAATAAGGTTTCAGGTGAGCACTATTACGGCTTAAATTATCTGTTTGCCTGGTAGCACAACACAGAAAAGCTATACTGTATGAACTACAGTGTTTTTTATGCTACTGAGTGATATCTTGGAAGATCTGCAGTGAGGCTAGTTGATTTAAGTTTAGGTCTCCCTTTTTAAATACACTGTGTCATTACCATGCAGGGGAAGATGGCAGTGCTTAGTAGTGCAGTGTAGTTGGTGAAAGAGCTGAGCTACAGTGGATGTTTAAATTCCTTCTGTTTGTTGGATTTTTACTCTTATCCTCATAAATCCCTTTGTCCTATGTTTTATCAAGAAGTTACAGAATCAGTTCCCTTGTTCAACTCCATGGACTCTGATATATCCTGAATATAACACTATTTGCATTTAGGTAAGATGCATAGCTGGCTACTAGCACCTTAAATTTAGTTCACTCTTGAAGTGATTGGGAAGAAAAGAGGGTTTTGAGTTTACAAACATGAGAAGATAACACTTGGCTGTCCTTATTTGCCAACAAAATGCAATGCTTTTTTTTTGTGTGTGTGTTAAAATGAAGGGAGGATTGGAAAGGGAAAGAAGGACCCAGAAAAATAGCAGGGCAAGAAAAGCCAGGTAAAGCTGAACGAGACCTGTATACCTGGGGACCTGATGTGTAACACTGTCAATTCTCTTTCCTCTGCTTTTAGGTATCAGAATAGTAAAATATAGCACCTTTAAGCGTTATTATTTGGAATTCTTTCATTCTGTGTTTAGGAATGTAGTGTTTTGTTAATTAATAAGTCC